AAACCCAGTCTCTACTAAGAATACAAAAATTAGCCGGGTGTGGTGATGCATGCCTGTAATCCCAGCTACTTGGCAGGCTGAGGCAGGAGAATTGCTTGAACCTGGTAGGCAGAGGTTGCAGTGATCCAAGTTCTTGCCACTGCACTCCAGCCTGGGCAACAGAGCGAGACTCCATCTCAAAAAGAAAAAAAAGCAAGAAAAAAAGAAACTTGTAGTGTAGGCCAGGCGTGGGGCTCATGCCTGTAATCCTAGCACTTTGGGAGGCCAAGGTGGGTGGATCACCTGAGGTCAGGAGTTCAAAACCAGCCTGGCCATCATGGTGAAACTCCATCTTTATTAAAAAAAAAAAAAAAAAAAATAAAAAAAAAAAAAAAAAAAAAAAAAAAAGAAAAAAAGAAAAGAAACTTGTAGTGTAGTAGGGAATAGACATTTAAATACATTTTTAAAAAATATAGCAACATTTGCAGAGTTTAGTGGCACACGCCTGTAATCCCAGCACTTTGGGAGGCCTAGGCAGGAGGATCGTTCGAGCCCAAGAGTTTGAGACAAGCCTGGGCAGTGTAGTGACATCCTCTCTCTACAAAAATTTTTAAAAATTAGCAGGCTGTGGTGGCACGAATCTGTGGACCCAGCTACTCAGAAAGTTGAGCGGGGAGGATGGCTTGAGCCCAGGAGGTTGAGGATGCACATGAGTGGTGATCAGGCCACAGCACTACAGCCTGGGCAACAGGGTGATACCTTGTCTCTAAATAAATAAATAACTAGGCCAGGCACGGTGGCTCATGCTTGTAATCCCAGCACTTTGGGAGGACAAGGTGGGCAGATCACAAGGTCAGGAGTTCAAGATCAGCCTGGCTAATATGGTGAAACTCTCTCTCTATGAAAAATGCAAAAATGAGCTGGGCGTGGTGGCTTGCACCTGTAGTCTCAGCTACTCAGGAGGCTAAGGCAGAAGAATTGCTTGAACCAGCCTGGGCGACAGAGCAAAATACTGCACTCTAGCCTGAGCAACAGAGCAAGACTATGTCTCTCTCTCTCTCTCTCTCTCTCTCTCTCTCTCTCTCTCTCCATACACACACACACATACAGCAACATTAAACATTAACAGGAATATATATATATATATATATGTATATACATATAGCAACATTAAACATTGTAAGAACCAGGTCCTAAGGCTTCAAAGATTACTGAAATGAAGGAAAAATGAAGCAGGTAGAAATTTAAAAAAAAAAGAAAAAAATTATGGAGACAGATTTCTCTTGTGTAGGACCTCAAGAGTTTATACAGCCTGACTGCAGTGGCTCGTGCCTGTAACCCAGCACTTTGAGAAGCTGAGGCAGATGGATCACTTGAGGCCAAGAGTTCGAGACCAACCTGGCAAACATGGCAAAACCCTGTCTATACTGAATACACAAAAATTAGCCAGGCGTGGTGGCGCACACCTGTGGTTCCAGCTACTCAGGAGGCTGAGACACGAGAATCATTTGAACCTGGGAGGTGGAGGTTGCAGTGAGCCGAGATCGCACCATTGCACTCCAGCTTGGGCAACAGACAAAACTCTGTCTTAGAAAGTAAAAAAAAAAATTTAAAAATAAAAAAGAGTTTATTCAGAGTGGCTTATACAGAGTTGCTGGGTGTGGTGGCTCATGCCTGTACTTTCAGCACTGTAAGAGAGGCTGAGGCAAGAGAATTACTTGAGGCCAGGAGTTGGAGTTTGCAGTGAGCTATGATTGTGACACCGCACTACAGCTTGTGTGACAGAGCAAGACCCTGTCTCCAAAAAATGAATAAAATAAAAATAAAATTTTATACAGTAGATGACAGATAGTTAAACATTCTCTTATTTTTTTGTCTTTTTTTATGCCACTTTCAAACAAATATTCTCAAGAAAGAGTAATATAATTCTGCTACAAGTTAGGCTCGAGGAAATCATTGAAGATGTGTAAAATAATTTTATGTGAGATTTATTTTTGTATTATTGTGGCAAAAGCTTCAAGACCACTTAAATGATCAACAGGAGGGGATGCAGTAAATGAATTACAGCACACACCTTGGATGGAAGAAATATGCCTTTAAATTCGAAGCTATAAATAGAATTGTTTTTTTGAGACAGGATCTCATTCTGTTGCCCAGGCTGGAGTGCAGTGGCATGATTTTGGCTCACTGCAACCTCCATCTCCCGGGTTCAAGAGATTCTGGTACCTCAGCCTCCTGAGTAGCTGGGATTAGAGGTGTCTGCCACTATGCCCAACTAATTTTTGTATTTTTAGTAGAGATGGGTTTTCAGCATGTTGGCCAGGCTGGTCTCGAACTATTGACCTCAGGTGATCTGTCCGCCTTGGCTTCCCAAAGTGCTAAGATTATAGGTGTGAGCCACTGCATGGCCAGCTGCTATAAATATAATTAAATAGGCTGGGCACGATGGCCCACACCTGTAATCCCAGCACTTTGGGAGTCCAAGGCAGGCAGATCACTTGAGGTCGGGAGTTCAAGACCAGCCTGGCCAGCATGGTCTATCTCTACTAAAAATGCAAAAATTAGCAGGGTGTGGTAGTGGGTACCTGTAATCACAGTTACTCAGGAGGCTGAGGCAGGATAATTGCTTGAACCCGGGAGGCAGGGGTGGTGGTGAGCCAAGATTGAGCCACTGCACTCCAGCCTGGGTGTCAGAGTGAAACTCCCTCTCAGAAAGAAAAAGAAATTAAACGAAATGGGGACATATATCATGTTTTGGAAGGTAGATTACTATGGTGGTTTGGAGAATGGTCTTAAAAACAGGCAGCCCATTATTCAATCTCATGGCCATGTTTCCAGGCTTAGAAGCTCTAGGCATCCTGGGATGGGCCCTGGAATCTCAAGGGTAAAACCACTTTGCTTTTTAAGATACATCAAAATTCTTTAAAATGTATTTAAAGGCAAGGAATAGTAGCTCATGCCTGTAATCCCAGCACTTTGAGAGACCAAGAGGCAGGAGGATTGCTTGAGCCCAGGAGTTGGAGGCTGCAGTGAGCTATGATTGCACCACCGCACTCCAGCCTGGGCAACAAAGCTAGTGAGACTCTCTTTTTTTGTTGTTTTTGTTTTTTTGTTTTTTTTGAGACAGAGTCTCCCTCTGTAGCCCAGGCTGGAGTGCAGTGGTGTGATCTCAGCTCACTGCAACCTCTGCCTCCCAGGTTCAAGTGAGTCTCCTACCTCAGCCTCCTGAGTAGCTGGGGATTACAGGTGCGTGCCACCATGCCTGGCTTAATTTTTTTTCTTTTTTGAGACGGAGTCTTGCTCTGTCGCCAGGCTGGAGTGCAGTAGCGCAGTCTTGGCTCACTGCAACCCCCGCCTCCCGGGGTCAAGCTATTCTTTCGTCTCAGCCTCCCAAGTAGCTGGGACTACAGGTGTGTGCCAAACACCCGGCTAATTTTTGTATTTTTTTAGTAGAGACGGTGTTTCACCATGTTGGTCAGGATGGTCTCGACCTCTTGACCTCGTGATCCACCCTCCTTGGCCTCCCA